TGTATGCTGGATAAGTTGGCGGTTCATTCCGCTGTGGTGATGCCAGATGCCAAATTAATAATGGGACTAAGTTGAAAAGAAAATTAATGAATTTATATATATATATATATATATATATATATATATATATATATATATATATATATATATATATATATATATATATATATATATATATATATATATATATATATATATATATATATATATATATATATATATATATATATATATATATATATATATATATATATATATATATATATATATATATATATATATATATATATATATATATATATATATATATATATATATATATATATATATATATATATATATATATATATATATATATATATATATATATATATATATATATATATATATATATATATATATATATATATATATATATATATATATACATACATATTTTATATTTTTATGTGGCCGACTCTTTACTAATATGTCACTAGTAATATTACACTAGTATAAGATATTATATCAGTATTACAAATAATTAATTTTACTAATTTTAAAAATAATCTTTAACTAAAACATTTTGTGGGACTCTTTGTTTCTTTGTGTCTTGTCTCTTGTGTGACTGACAGAGACAAAGTTATATACCTTGTGGCTGTGAGGCAGAAATCCACTTTCTTCCATATATCCCACAAAACCCCATATGGGAATGTCATCTAGGACAAATTCAAAGTAATACAGCTCCTCAATTGCCTCCCGCAACTGATCCACCTGTAGAAATATAAAAGTTAAAAACAAAAAGCAATTCCATACTCCTGGATTTCTTTTGTCACATCATCTTCAATGACATCGAATTGTGTAAAATTCTGTTCCAGGACATGTGGCTTCCGGCAGAGTTTAGTTCCAACCCTTCAACATACCCATCACTTACAAAACGAACTTGAAAACCTTGACTAGCTGGTTCAACCATTGATTAGAGCTGGAGCAGAATAGAGAACACTTTCCATTCAAGAAAGTGCTGCATTCACCCAACTAAACATGGGTCAAAGGCAAAAGTTTTCACTTTAGCGTCTGAATCAGCTTAAAAAAAAAAAAAAAAAACACTGCAAAATAGAATGGGGGCAAATCATGATAGGAATACCTACATGTAAGACCTGTAAAATGAAGACGTAAAATTATAATAAATTATATTATGTTCATTATTATACATCATTTGTGACTTTAAATTAATTCTGTGACTATAGATTAAATAATAAATAATCATTACAAATCCAAAAAAGTTGGAAAATGTGCCATTGAGCAGAACATGATTTAACTTGGAAACTTTTTTAAATTATGCATTTAAAAGTACATAAAAACATAAAAAAGAAAAGCACAATTTAAAATTTTACATAAACTGTTTATTACACCTGAGCTAAGACATAAAATGGATCCAGGTCTGTCTGAGCTGTGTGTGAAATGCAAATCAGACATTGGAACCTTCTATCATTGTATGTGGAGTTGTCCTCTAATACAGCAGTTCTGGGACTTGATTAGACTGCAGCTCAACACCATCTTTAAATGTACATTTCAACTGGGAGAAAAGACTTCCTTACTGGGCCTCAATAATGATATACCTTATAATTTTTGTAACAGAGACATTTTACATATTTTGGTTTACTTTGCTCGAAAATGTATACTTGTAAAGTGGATTAATGAAGAACCGCCTAGTTTAAATCAATGGCTGCTTGCAGTCTGCAGCATAATCCCACTTAAGGCTTTCTTCACAGCTATGGAGAACCAACAGTGGTAACACTTTATAATACTTACACACTATGAATCATTTACTACGCATTAGCATCTAGTGAATTTATTATTTGTTAAGCATTAACTCTACATTAATAAACGTTAACAAGCAGTTTACTACTACAGGTACAAATGCTCTATTCTTGACTTACAAGCACATTTATAATGTGCTTAATAATTGTATTTTCATAATTTGTTCATTATTTGTTTTTCATTACTAAATGAAGTATTGCATTATTTACAAACCATTTTTTTTCAAGAGTAGTTGGTGGTTACTAAGATTTTTCAGAATGAGTTAGTATATGATTAATAAACTATTGAAATCAACGCATATATATCGTATTATTCAGGTGCATATTAATGGTTACTTTACATGTTAATGAATGCTTTATTAACTCAACTTCATGCAGTTTTGTGACCCAATCTAAAGTGAAGACTATTAATGCTTTATAAATCCCTTATAAATGACAATTAGAGGCTTGGTATCAAATGAACAATAATATTTGCAATCTTATCTAAAAAATACAATTACTGTAAAGTTCAAATATTGTCAAATAACAGGTGTCAAAATACAACATAAAACTGGATTAAACAACATCAATATAATAATTTAACAATAAAGAAGCAGTGTTTAAAGTGTACATAACTTTATTTTAGATAAGGTTGAAAAGATTATTTTTTTATTTGAAGTACAGTTTAATTTGTGTATCTTCAAACGAATAGGATTTAATAAAGTCCTTTATGTAATTTTTCCTGAGCCTTTAATTGTCATTTATAAGGGATTTATAAAGCATTAATAGTGCTCACTTTAGATTAGGTCACAAAACTGCATGAAGTTATACGAGTTAATAAAACATTTATTAACATACAAATTAACTATTAGTATAAGCCTGAATAATAGGAATTATAAATGTTAACTTGAATAGTTTATTAATCATTTACTAACTCATTCTGAATGATCTTAAAAAAACAAATAACTATGCTTAAATAACTAGTTTGTAAATAATTTAATTCTTAATTTAGTAATGAAAAATAAATCATTAACAACGTATAAAAGTACAATTATTAAGCACATTATAAATGTGGTTATAAGTCGAGAATACAGCATTTGTAGCTGCAGTTATAAACTGCTTACTAACGCTTATTAATGTAGAGTTAATGCTTAACAAATAATGAATTCACTATTTGCTAATGCTTGATAAATTCATAGTCTGTAGTTATTATAAAGTGTTACCAGAGGTGTAATATGCCTTTTTGCAATATTCATTCATTCATGGATTTTCTTTTCGGCTTAGTCCCTTTATTAAAATCCGGGCACAGTGGAATGAACCGCCAAATCCCAGCGACCTTTTTGCTGCGAGGCGACAGCACTACCTACTGCACCACTGCGTCACCTCTTTTTGCAATATAATCTTGTTTTTTTTTTTTGTAATTTTTATTTTTTTAATATTTACTTAATTACAATTTAATCTTATTTACTATTTTTCCTCATATAGGGTCAGAATTTAAATTCAAATTACATGCATGACAGATATTATGTTTTTACTCAATGTAATTTTCTGACATGTATTTGCACTAAAAAATGTTCAATAAAAATATATTTGGAAAAAAAGAAAAAGCACATTATATGCAAATATAACCTTTAATGTAGGGCTGGGCGATTTGGCCTAAAATCTAAATCTTAATTAATTTAACATTTTATCTATAATTATGATTAATGAACGATTGTTTTGTCTATTTAGATTTTTGCCCTCTAACGCTACCACATTGATCGATCAATCACAGAGCTTTCCCTGTGTCGTAATGACGTTGAGGTACATTTTTTGAGAAGTCAATGGTTGTCAGTGACTGCGAGGAGTGAAGGCTGCATCAGACCATACGCTGCATTCGAAACAGAAGTATAAACAGAGCCAGGTCATTTGACTTCACACATGGTAGGGTAAGTAATTGAAAAAAATTGACCTGGAAAAATAAAAAATAAAAAAAAAAAATCGAAAAGTAATCGAAATTGACATTCAGAATCTAATCGATTAATCACCCAGCTTTACTTTAATGTTTCAAATTTTGCAAAAAAAATTATGGGTGAAACAATAATTTAGCGTAATGTATACTCATACAAAAAATTTGGAAAAAGAAACATATCTGACTAGCAATTGTTTAAAATAACAGGTCATACTAATTTTTTTTTTATAATTTCAGGTAGTAAAACTTATTTTGACTAATGGATAAAAGCTAGCCGTTTAAAGGATAGTGGCAAAACATAAAGACAATTAATTTGTTTTTTGAGTGCTACATAGTGTATATAGACAGTAATATCTTCAGATAATTATTGTTTTAAATATGCCTAAAAAATATTTTGCTATATAAACTACTGTTTAACTGAATGATATTTGAATGATATCAGTAAATCATGTAAAAAAAAATGTATCAAACCATGAATAAATATATAAACTCATAGTTGAAGCCAAAATTATTAGCCCTTCCTTGAATTTTTTTCTTTTTTAAATATTTCACAAATTATGTTTAACAGCATATTCACAGTATTTCCTACAATACTTTTGTCTTCTGGAGAAAATCTAGGATAAAAGCAGTTTAATAAAAGGAAAAAAAGGTTTTTTTTTAGGTCAATATTATTAGCCCCCTTAAACTATAGGCTATATATTTTTCACTTGTCAATAGAATAACCCCTGTTAAACAATGTTTTGCCTAATTACCCTAACCTGCCTAATTAAACTATTATGTTTAGAAATGGGATGAAAAATATTTTTCTGTTAAACAAAATTGGGGAAAAATACACAAGGGGCTAATAATAAATTAGTATGCATGTATGTACAGCCTTCAACTGTACATACATACATAAATAGTACATAGATGTACAGAGAGAGACAGAATAAAGCTATATTGCACTTTTTTTAAACAAACTGCCATCAATCATGAACAAAATCCAAAATTTTAACTCCCTAAAATATTTTTTGATTTAGGGTGAGGTTGCGTCTTACCTCTTTCTCAGAGAGAGTGAGCTTGCACAGCGTCAGTCTATCTGCATTTTCCTTGAAACGGATGTTATAAAGAGATTCAGCCATACGGTCTCCATCCAACACCTCTCCCAGACTTAAGGCTTTATGACGGACCTGCAAACACGTCCAGATGATGAGCAACCTCTCAAACTGAAAGTCTTAATGACTTATATTGCATCGTTAGGCCATTCATTAAGCAAATGCTTTTAACAGATTGGGACAACTGTAAATAATGCAGTGCACAATTACCTCTTTAGGTCTACAGACAGGTAGAGTGTAATAGTGATACGTCTCCTGGGGATTGTGATACGGACCAACTTTGTTCACATACAGGACAACTGGATCGCCTTGTTTGTAACTCACTGCCCAGCCAAAATAAGGCATCAGGCAGAGAACCAGCACACAGAGTGTCACGGATCGACCAGCGACACGCAGGCCTAAACATTCCAGTCTCGCTGTCATGACAACACCTGTCAGCGGGCAAATCAAGACTGTAAAAGGGGTCAGGAAATAAGCAAACGGAAAAGAGTATGGTAGACTTATGGTAGTAGTTTAACCTGGCAGACTGCATCTAACCATTAACAGCTGTCTCTTACTACTAAAATTCCATGACTTTTTCATGATTTTTCCAAGATTTTTTTAGTAAATTTTCATGACCTAACATCTCATGCAATGTCTACATATCCGTGGTAAAAGAAAAACAATGCATGTTCAAATTTATTACAGCATAACGTAAAACACAAAACAATCTATTTAGTTTCAATTTATATCTATGTAAAATTGATTTAGATAATGCTTACATCGCACTAATAATGTGAGAGTATGTGATTGGACAAGGACAGAAAAGAAGTAAATATATTCAAGTATACAGATATCAGTTTTCCATGACTTTTCCAAAAAAAATTTTAGGCCTGGAAAATGCCATGTCAAAATTCCAAGACTTTTCCAGTTTTTCCATGACTGTATGAACCCTGTAAAAGTCTTTTAAATCTAGGATGTAAAATTATTATAAAGCATATTATTTAATTATTACACATTTTGTGGCTTTAAATAAATTTTGTAACTATACATTAAATAATTATTAATAACCCAAATGAGTTGGAAAATGTGGCATTGAGCAGAATGTAATTTAATTTGAGAGTAAACTTTCTCTTCATGCATGACATTTTTAACACACCTAAAATGTTGATTTTCTTTAAATGGTTTTAATTAAAAGTAATACTTACAATTGAACTACTTATTTAAACTGGAATATTAATGTCACACTGTGCATTAAGTACATATTTTTAATATTTACTTAATATTTAATGTATAGTTACAAAATGTATTTGAAGTCACAAAATCTCTAATAATAAAATAAATAATATACTTTATAATAATTTGTCAAAACTTTTGAACCTATGATTCTACCATGATTTTCATGCATTCTTTTCTGCCATGTTCGCATTTTTAGTAACAAAGTTATTATGTAATATTACAATTATCTACATTTTTTCAAAGCTACAATTTTTTTTAAGCGAAGACAAATGTCAAAAATGTCAAATTATATTAAGCAATTTTAGTCTAAATATTATTATATTTGAAACTGACAATATTGAAACAATTTGATCATTAAATATGTTGTGACTAAACTAAATTAGTGACTACATTACAGGACTACATGTGCTTGTAAAAACTTAAAGGATTTGAAAAAACGAGAGGCAGATTTAAATTTGTGGTAGAACTTTCTCTTTAAGCAAAAATAGTCAAAATCACCTCCATTTTAAATTCCCTTTAATCATTTATGCAAATTTGGATCCTGAATGTCACATTACGCATTACCTACACATAAGACCAAAGTGTAAGATCATATGATCAAGATAGAAAAAAAAATAAATGGATGTATTTATACACAAAGGATAAACAAATAAGCTTTTAAAATAGTTTTAATGTGTGATTGTTACAATTTAGTTACATAACCAAAATGCAGAGTAATATCTTAGTTAACTGAACATCAACTAATGACAATAGACTAGATGCAACTTAGAACTATTAGAACTATACAAATCTATTAGTAAATGCTGAAATTACCATTAAGTAATATTAATATATGTTATAAATATTTTAGTTATTGTTAGTTTATGACAATTAACGTAATTAAACTACTGCTGGCAATCAAAACATCATCGTAAAGTGTTATCCAATTAATCAGCAGCATGCATTTGTGCCAGGTTTTGGTTTAGTTGTATTTAAGTATGAATAACACTTTGATGTTACTAACAAATTAAAAACATTTACATGTAGACAATGACACGATCAAATAAACTGTTATCGAAATCGGTTCCTCGGTTCTTGTGGAAAATTTGGACCATTTTTCACGTCTTCGTTTTGATAGGGTAACATTAAATTAACAACAAAGGCTAGCATCTTCCCGACATAAAAAAATAGAAAACAAATTAATAAGTCCATGGACTTTGAATTAAAGCACTATAAATCTTTGTCGCCGACCAAGATGCTTTCAACACTTCCGCATCAGAGAAATGCTGCAAACCTGTTTCAGATGCTTCCACGGACTCCTCAGAATCGCTTCTTTCGCTTCAAAATCCAGTCAGTAACACAGGCGTATGTGTAATGTCATATCTGGACATTGCTAGTGATAAAACGTGTTCTGATCTTCGCTTTAACGCGATAAACCAGAAGAAAGGTCGCGATCAACAGAAGCGGCGCACAGCGAATCCACGTCACCTTAAAAAATAAAAATACCCTTTTTAGGATCTTCCGGGGTGGGTGTGGCTACAGCGCAACACCTGCACCTGCTTCGAAAAGTTCCTGCATCTAGTATTTCCAGCTTGAAACGTAGGCTCGACAATAAAAAAACATTTTCAGGCATTTTAGAGGTGATAACAATTACCAGGCATTTCCTCTGCCTTACTGATGCTTCGCCAGTCCTGACTAATCGATCGACATGCACGCTCTGTTGTTATTCCTCGCCAAGACTGAACTAGACAATTTTGAGATATCGAGCCCATCGGTCGCCACAAGAATTTGATTGGTTATGCCTGTATTTAGAATTCGCGCGAAATAGACGAGGCTTTTCCGCGCGGTTGTAGTCGTGTCCAAGTGTGAAAGACTGAGAAGTGGATGCTGAAGCCCATATTTTATTAGCAAGTAAAAGTTCTGTTATTACTACGTTTTGCAGCTTGTTGAGGGTTGTTACGCAAATGCTGCTCGTGCACATGTCGATTCATAATACTGTTTTGTGGCTTTAAGCTTTATTTAGTTTGACCGCCGTTTTGCCTTGCTGTTTTAAACCCATCCACATTATATGAGCCACATTGTGATCGTCTTTGTGTAAATTCGCTAATTAGCTTAGCTTTAATAATTTAACGTTTATTCTTCATAATCCTTTCAGGTTTCTGATAGTAACAGTTTATCACTATGGGAATTCACGGACTTGCAAAGCTCATTGCAGATCACGCGCCTTCGGCTATTAAGGAGCATGAAATCAAAAGCTACTTTGGTAAGCTCTGCTTAAACTCTGTTGTATGTCGAGGAAGAGCATGTCAGTGAATCTCAAATACGACAAGTGGATGTTTGTTTGCCCTTTATGTTTATTAAAGGCTTTAGTTATGTCTTGTAGTTGAGTGATGAGGGCGTGTGTGTTTAATAGAAAGAGAGTATGGAAGTATGTATTTGTAATAGTTTTTGTCAGCTAAATTTCTATGGTACTTATCCACATGTATTTGTTTATGTTTGGATGGTTGCAGGACGGAAGATTGCTATAGATGCCTCCATGTGCATCTACCAGTTTTTGATTGCGGTTCGACAGGACGGTAATGTGTTGCAGAATGAAGATGGAGAGACCACTAGGTATATGAAATTGTTGTGACCAATTCAAAACATGTATTTTGAGTTTTTAGCCATTTACATAATACAGCTCTTTTGTCTTCTCAGCCACCTCATGGGCATGTTCTACAGGACCATCCGAATGCTGGAAAGCGGCATCAAGCCGGTTTATGTTTTTGATGGGAAGCCACCTCAGCTCAAGTCAGGAGAGGTGCACTATATGCACAAACATCATTATCCACCTTATTTCCCCCACCACTATTATGCTTTCCACAAATTATGGGAGTAACTTTCATTAAAGCCAATGAAACATCCAATGAGTAACCCAGTATAAACATCCAAGTTTAAACCTTTAATTCTAGAAGCAAACATTAGAAAATGATAGAGTCGATATTACTATATATACACATAGTTAAAAAAAATTAAGTAAAGCTAAATAATTTACAATCTATATTGAAAACATGTTGTTTTTTTACATGTACAGGGCGCATACATTACACATTATAGGGAAGCAAAACAGGTTTATATGTCTTTTTAACCAAGTAAACTGTTAAGCATGTTGAGAAGATATGTAAGGCATATGAAAGTGAAAGGATTTATAAGGGTAAATTTGAATTACACATATTAAGATATTAGGAATTCACAATAAACATTAAAGCGATAAGTCTCCCAAAAATTTATATTGCCCTTTTCTTTCTCTTTACTTAAATAAAACAAGTCTGAGATTTTGTTTTAGTAGTACACCAAAGAAAATATTTTGAAGAATGTTGCAAATGTGTAACTATTGACTTCTATAGTATTTGTTTTTTCCTTCTAAAACTCAGGAACAAGAAGAAAACAAAATTTAGTGGGTTGAAACAGCCCTTCCCACAGATAATTTTACAGTATCATGTCTAGTTTTGTGACAACTTTACGTTATTAACCTGAAGTTTGATAGTAGAGCATGAAGGAAAAATGTGCGGTCAAAAAGGCGGACCTACAGAAATGACAGGCATCAGCTTTCGTGAAGGCGGACTTACATAAATGACCGGCATAGAGGGAGCGAGAGAGAGAGAGATCGGGAGGCAAACATACAGCCGGCTACAACCCTAACATTAGTTTCAGACACAACCGCAATGTATTTTACTGGTGAATATGTCATGAAAAAACACTTTACAAACGCATTATATGTATATTTTTCATTAATTTAAACGGAAACATATCTATCTAAATGAGACCATATAATCAAAAATGAGCGTCTGTGTCAGCACAGCGATCAAATCTCTCATCGGAGAATGTGGATTTTATGGTGTTTTTGAAGAAGATCTTTCACTAGTCTACACTGCAGTTATTTATTTAATTTTAGTTTACTTAGTTAAGATGGCTGCACTAAAGAATTTTTTTTCTGACTAGTCTATATTGGAGGTATTTATTTAATTCTAGTTGTTTACTCGGGTATCCTGACTGTACAAAAAATGCGATGACAAAGTTAATAAAGAAAAAGTTAAGATGTTCTTGTTATTAAGTGAATTGTCCCTTAGCATTGCTGTTAACATGACATCAACCCTAACCCCACAGCAAACAGAAACCTAACCATACTGAACCGAACCGTGGCTCCAAAACTGTGAACCGAACCGAACCGTGCCCTTTGTGTATCGTTACACCCCTTTATTTTATTTATATATATATATATATATATATATATATATATATATATATATATATTTATATTTATAATACACGTGTGTGTGTGTGTGTGTGTGTGTATATATATATATATATATATATATATATATATATATATATATATATATATATTAGGGCTGTAACGATACACGATATAAAATCGAAATCGCAACACTCAGATCTACGATCCTGTGTCGCGGTGTGATAAGGGAGAATCGCGACACACCCCGTGACTACCTTTCCAATAACGTCACGTGTGCCTGCAAAAGTTGAGCTAGTTGAAGAAGAACGTGAGGAAACACTTTTTTTTCGCTCGACATTACGAGCACTGCTCCGTTTAAGCCCTCGCAATTAGCGTTTAACCGGGAGAGCTCGCACGGAGCTCTTAGTAAGGGACTGTCTGAATGTGTCAGGAATATCAAAAACAAAACCAACTTAACCCCTCTTGACAACAGACAACGGCAGAAACATTGCCAGTGCTGTCAAAGCATTGTTGTTAATGTGGCTGCGCAGAGAGGGATGGGCGTTCACCAGATGCCCCGACTCCTCTGCAGAGGAAACTTTTCTGTAACCTTGCTGTGTGCTTTCTGTTTGAACCTTTGAGAGTTAACGTTACGTGCTGACTGACAGCGCGATGCGTGAGGCCAGGAAACAGGACGAAGCTTTCAGTTAAGATGAACACAGTTTCTATAGTTATGCTTTATTTATAGATAAAGGTATATGACTCTGGTTATAATCACTCTATCTTGCTGGAAATTTATAGCCGTTTCGCTTTACTTCAGGACGCATGCCGCTCTGAAGGTCTAATCGCTGTTTTAAGTTATCCAGAGCTGTATGAATGTACAAATCTTGAATATAACAATAGCATTAAATATTACAATTGTAACAACACAGACAGCAACACTTATGCACAATCGATACCCAGCTGATTCAATCGTTTCATAAGAGGACCGCGCTTCTTCTCTTCTTTTTTCTTTGTCAACATAAAGGCAGTGAGATGCGCCTTGTTTTCGGCTTATAAAGCATGTATGCACATTAATGCAATAGCATATTTAAACAACAAAACTGTTTACAAAAAGTCAACATATGCGTGCGTTGTTGTTGTCTTTTCATCATGCAGCACGCGCACTTGAACCGCGAGGGAGAAAGAGGAAACCATCAGGACTTATTCTTTAAAATAATGATTTCTATTAAAATGTAAAAGGTTTTGTTATAATAATAATAACAGCGGGGCATTAAATAAATGCGTATTTTTTCCGTGGAGCGGGCAATTTGAGGAAGTCTGCGATTTTTTTATTTGACGGAAGAAAAAAACATATGATAGGAAAAAAACAGCCTATGCCGGTTGTTAAAAAGAATCAGTCAGTATTTTCGTTTTGTAATATAAACTAATTATTTAAATGAAAATAATTTAGGGCAGTCCTATTTATTTTATTCATTTTATTTAGATTATTCTGCTCTTCTGTGCTAAACACTGCAGGTGCGTGAAGATGCTCTGTTGTTCTGTTCTGTTATTAATATGCTAGCATTTAAAAATAAATCAGTAGCCTATTTTAAAATGCAATATTCAATGTGTCAGACACAAAATAGACACGTCAATTTGTTTAATATAAAATTAATAGTAATCTGACCAGTTAACCGTTATTATAATACCCGATTAATGAGCGGCGGTTGTCTGTTAGCAAAATTAACCGAAATGAGCATCCCTAGTAGTTTAATTTACTTTTTCTATGTAAGAGAACTTGATTGAAAAAGAATTTTTAACATGCTTGAACCTTCTACACAATGGAGTTTAGTTCGGTTTGGTTTTTCAAAAGTATTTTGTTACAAAGAAAACAAAAATGATATAATTCTATTTAATAAAACATAGTTTTAAAAATCTTTTTTTCCCCACCCCACACAAAAAAAAAAAAAAATCGTGATACGAATCGAATCGTGGGTTTGGTGTATCGTTACAGCCCTAAAAATATATATATATATAATATAATAT